GGTACACGATCGTAAACCAGATGTAACTAACGAGGTTACGGTGCAACGATCGATCGATCGGTAGTCAAGTGGCTGAAAATTGCTTTCGTTTAAGCTACTGTTCAGTCCAAGGGAGAACACGAAGATGAAGATAGATACGCTCGCGAGCCGAGACGAAATCTGGAAGAGACTTTATCTGAAGGTTTTAGGAGCTGTTAATTTCTAGCATTCAGATAAGCTATCTGGCTCGCTTCGTTCGCTACGGATACCGGTTTCACCGCCACGAATAAATGGCACGCTTGTGTCAATAGCTCGGACTTGGTTCCGTCGAAATTCTACGATTGCCTGAGATTCGAATCAATGTTCGAAGATTAAAAATAGCTACTCCGAGAAGAAACTGTCATATTTCTGTAGTTGACTATATTTGAATTATATAATCATGTCGACGAAATAACGATTAATTTAAATAACTACAGCGTGCGAAAGTTAAAAGTGAAAATGATTTCACATGGTGTTACGTAATTAAAAATGATCTTGGAATACGTGTAGGTGCTACTTGCGTTTGATCGAAGAATTCTTCCCAGGATTGGTATTAGTTTGTGTACATGGAATATCGTCATCTGACGATTCGCTAGCTAATCCTATTGTGAATTAACAAAATTAACAAGCAGAAAATTCACTGTATAACAATCAGAATATTCGTCTCAGAAGCTCTTTCACGTCTCAAAATTGCTGAAAACGTGAATTCATCGTTTTGGAATCTTCCACTTCACGTAGACAGTTTTCTGGAAATTTCGTCGGAAGAGTTTCTGAACGTGGGAATTTATAATGTAAAATATTGAATCTAATTCGATCGTCTTGATCAAATACGTGACGTCGTAGAGGTACAGCTTTCTGCTAGAATTTCGCCTGAAACGGCGACGTTTCATATGCAGCAACCCTATCCTTTCGTTATTTCGTTCACGCGCAAAAGCTCGAGCACACGGCGAAACCCGTCATCCATCGCCGTATCCGTGCACCTTTGCAAGAGAAAAAGACAGTCGCGGCTCACCTGCGCGATCGAATATTCAAGTGCTCCCGTCTGCCGGATCCTTTCAATCACTGTCTCCCGGTGACGCTCCTTCCGCATGCCCGACCATCGGACCACCGATCTCAACGCCAGGCGAAAGTCTATTTTCGACGCGGGCACTCTGTTCCTTGCTCTTCCCACTGGAATACCGTCGCGTGCAACTAGGTGTGCGCATTTTCGAAATGTCTCGCCACGCGAGACACGCGTGGCGCCAAAAAAGAAGAAGAAAAGGAACACTTGTCTATCGTGTATCGTGCGCTTCGCTGGCGCAGTACCGCGTAATTTCTATCACACGCGCGTTATGCATACCTCTGGTTCGCGTCGACGAAACGGAATTCTCGTTAATTCGATTCTGAGAGTCGGTTCGCATCGCGGCGCGTCTCGCGTGGCATCGCAACGGCACACACAGCACAGCAGAGAACAGCAGAGCACAGCACAGTTCGGCACACGGCGGCGGTCCCACGGGGACGGGTGAAAACGAGCGACCTGGAAGAAAGGAAGCAACGAGGATAGGAGCGGAGCGCAATATCGTGAGAGACTGTTCGTGCCTTCCACCTTCACTGGCAGCCGTTCTGCCTTGGAATGTGCCTTTGCCCCCTCGAGCCCCTCTCCGCTCCTATACCGGGCCCCGAGCTCGAGCCAGGGCCCCTCAGCTCCCTCTCCGACTCCGCAGACCTCGCTCTCCCTCTGTCCTTCTCGCTCTGTCCCGCCGTTCGAAGCTCGACCGTCGATTTCGTCCTGGGACCGCAAGTGTCAGGCCCACCCACTCTCCTTCGTTGCCCCGATACCACACTCGTTGGATAGGGTAGATCGTCGTCGTTTAAACGCCCGAATCGGATATTAAATTCGCCGATATTACTCGAGTGTCGCTCGAATTTCTGACGAAATCTGCCTCGAGTGTCTCGAATTTCGTGGATCTTTCTACAGTACAAAGGAATACAATTCGCTATTGATTGGAGTTTTGAGTCGAACGAAAGATTGGATTACACTGTCATATAAGCGAGGGTATTTTCAAAATTCTCAAAAAACAGAAAAGCGACCTCTCTCTCGAGTACGTTCCTTCTGGCCTATTAACACAGTTACTACCGAGAAAACCGGATAATCGCGGATAGTTGCAGATCCTGTGATTACCCTTGAAATTTAGTTGGAAAAATTCCTGTCTGATTACGCGTGCCGAAGGATGCACGAAGGGGCGAATTATCTGGTGAGCCTGCTGGAGGAATCCACGACTGGAACGGTCACTTACCGATCGATCGTTGGCTCCTTTATTTACGATCAAAACGAATTAATTATTGTTCACGAGCACGTTATTTACTGCAACAATCAGGGAATATCGATGAACGGTTAATGTTACGCGAATAGTCGGCCAACGTTAATTGCTCCGATGTATAATGCGCGTCAAGTGTATAATTTAATGCGCCGCGAAATGGAAGAATCCGCGTTCGGTCGCAATCCGTTCTATCTGAATATTCGATACTTCGGACAATGGGACACCAAAAACGATATTTACCGAAATAACATGGAAGAATGAACTTTTGTGAATCCGTCCATATGAATAGCCTTTTGAATAAGAAGTCCTGAATATCGGGGATAGACAATGGACATTGTGAGGGTTTCGCGGGATTTTTCGGCTGTACGGACTTTCTTACCGGGGCCTTTGGTTTTCGATTGTTATTCTTATTTATAGATAATTACACGACTATTGTTTTTACTCGTAATTATCTGGAACTTATTGCTTCGCAGAATGATTCTTCTTCTTTATCCTCTTCATAAATGCCTAGATTTTTTAATTAAATTCAATACAATATTGTTCTAACACATATTTAATTATTTCATATCCTACATTCTCTCTTGATAGAAATTAATAGTGAAGTCAGATTGAATTTGAAATTTTAGAACGGAGCGACGCGAAGTTTAAATTCTAAATTATCACGACAAGCCAGTAGATTTTCACGCATTTGTGGGAAATTTAAAAGTGCAACGATGCGCATAGTACACAAAATATTCAGAGCGTAGTGCTCGTTATAATAATCAATAGTAAAAAGATGAAATAATACCATCTTTTTAATTATCTTCGTAGAAATATAAAAATTGAATGAAACTGTACCGCTAGTAACTTTGGAATGTACTACCTTGAAAATTTTTGATGCATCGCGACAGATGTAACGGACGTCGAAAACAATGATCGCGTGTATATAATTTATTCCTTGAGACATTCGCTGATTGCAATATGGCCCGTATTCTTTATTCTCGCAGTAGCTCGGAGAAAAGAAAGAACCCTCGAAATACAATGGACAGCGTAATTAAGGGTCAAAAGTTTTTAGCTTCATTAATTACGCGAACACTTCAAACGATGCCATTATCATTCCCGAGAATGCAGCAAGCAAAATGGTGCGCTATGCATAATGTAGTTTCATTTCTCCTCCGCTTCGGGGCCATTTTTCTGAATCAATTCGAGGGAAAAATAGGAAATATGAGTGCCTTAATTGCGACAGGCTGGTAATTATATTAGAAAAAGGAAGCGGTAACAACCGAAACTGCAGTTTTCTTTATTTCAAGCCCACTGTCTCAGGCATCGTTGCAAAATTATTTATAACAGTAATAATTGAAAAAAAATTTTAACAGATTTTTAAATCTGCTAATTGAAAATGTTGAAATTTGTTGATATTGGAATGAAAAGCAGTAACTTTTTAATTTTACATTGACAGAAATAACTCACGATCGGAGATAAATTAAAAGTTTTTTTTTTTTTTTTTTT